CATTATGCCGAGTGAAAGATGCCAGACCAAAAGAGTACATACTGTATCCGTCCATTTATTTAAGCTTTTAGGAAACGCAAACTGACTCACAGTCACTTAGTGGACCAGTGGTTGCCTGGGTGGAGGGGATGGATGGCAAGGAGAGGTAGGAGGAATAGGATTTCAGAGAGCAATGAGGTAGAAATGTTTGCTGTATTGATTGTGGCCATAGTTTCATAGAGATACAAATATGTCAGATCTTATTAAATAGTATTCTTTAAATACGTGCAGTTACTGGTAAGTCAATTACACCACAATAAGCCTGTTTTTAAAAAGTACAAAGAACAGTCTGTAGTATAGTGCAGTTGAAATCCATGGAGAAGTGTACCAGTCAGGGCCATTAACACTAGATGTTGTAACAAGAAACTTGGTATCTCAGCAGCTTACCACAAAAGTTTCTGTTTTGCTTATGTTACAATGTCACTTGGGTCACACAGCTCCTGGCAGCTCACAGCCAGCCAGTGACTCCAGGACCTTGGCTCCTTCTGTCTTACAGCCTTGCTGACTTCAAGATGCTGTCTCTCTTCTTACCAAGGATAAGAAGAAAGAGCCGAGATGAGCATGACCACACCTACAAGGAGGTGCCCATCACACGTGCCCACATCCCTGAGGCCAAAACCGAGTTACACAGCAGGCAAATAGAGTTTTCTCCCTGCTAGGAAGAAGGAGCAGTGCTTTCATCGACACAGCTTGCCAGCTTCTGCCAGAAGAAAAAGAAATATCAGAGTAGTTGTGCACACAATAATGGGTATTACAAAAGCATATTGAGTTTCTGAGCCAAAATACTTGCGTTCAGATCCCTTCAGTTTTCTCCCAGAATGAAAGGGTATCTATTTGCTTTATATTTCTGAACTGCTTTAAAGCACCTATTTCAGGAGTTCTCATAAAGGCACAGTTTCTGCACCTAGAGAGAACCCAAGGCTCCCAGCTCCTAGGAGACAGAAAATTGGTATAGTTTTCCAATCGCTCCCACAGCCTCCCCCACTCCTTTTCTACTTCTGCCCGCAAAGTATGCAGCTTGTGCCCTCCGCCATCTGTGACAGCAATGACAGCGCAGCTAGCCGGATGTTAGAGCCACCAAGAAATGTGCTCAGGGGCCTTTGTGCAATGTAGCCAGATAAAGGGATTCCTTGCCTAAGCAGCCAGTTAGCCTCACTGTATGACCATTTGGACAGGCAGTGGCAGTGACAAGATGTGGATTCAAGGGCGTATACCACCAGTCAGGTGACCCTGACAAGGTCACTCCCTCTTTCCTCAAATACTGTCTTCACTGAGCTTCTGGGACAGCCCACTCTCCGGGTCCTCCCTCCCTCCCTGCTGTCCTCCCCCCACAACCTCTGAATGGTAGTTTGCTCCCAGGGCCCTCTCCTGGAGTGCCATCTCAGGTATGATCCCAGGGACTTTGAAAAGCTATAGAATATGCTCTACTTTTGTAGAATCAGCTCCCCAGCCCCCCCACACCCCCCCCACCTTAATAGTTTTGGACACTCAGATAAAATTTCTCCTCCCTCCCTCCCTTCCTTTTTTGTCAAATTATGTGGATAACTTCTCCCTCTACAAGTTGTCATTAGGTTCCAGAAATGGCAGTTCATTGCTGCTTTTTTTCTCTTAACTTGCTTAGGAAAAGGCAAAAAAGACCCTTTCACTGTTATCAGTGAGAAATGCTTTGTTGCCCTTGAGAATCGATTGAAACTGACCCTTTCAGGAAAGAGTCCATGAAATGCAAGAGGGAAAAACAATGAATTCACAGAAGAGCTTGCTCCCACCCACTTGGAACATAGTCCCTTTAGCCAACCTGTTTGATCAGCTGGGGAAAAAGCACCCTCATTTACGTAACCTCCTGGCCCTTTGTGTTTCAAGATGGCACCAGTCCAGAGAAGCAGTTTCCATATGAATGAAGGAGGATAAAGGCCCACCAGTGCCCATCACACCCCCACAGGGAATGGCTTCTCTAGATTGTCCAGGAGTTTCTGGTTTTTCCATACAGCTTTGCAAAATGATCTAATATTTGCAAATGTGTGCGCCCTTTCACAATTCAGTGAGCAAATACTATATTAATTTAGGAAATAGTTATGAATCACTTGTGTGCCAACTGCATATAAGCTCTCTTACTGGGTGCTTCAGGGATTAGCGATACAGCTCCGTCTTGGAGAAGCAGACAGTCAAGTGAGAAACACCTAAACATTAAACCATGTTCTTAATAGACTGAGCACACCAGGAACAGAGGTCCTGTCTTTTGTCTGTGTCTTCTGCATCACCTAAGTATCATGTTGAGGACATGAACAGGGGATCAAATCCATAGTTCTCCCAGTGAATTTCCATAATTAAAACCAACAATGATTACCAGCCAAACTTCAGAGGAAGCCAGAGCTCCCTTCTGTCACTGTCAGGGGCCATATGACAGCCACAACATCTTACATGGTAGGAAGTGATGACAGACAAGAGGCTGAGAAGAATACTTCGTGTGGTTCAAATCAAAAGGACATTTGAGTAGAGAGAAAGGATAAATCAGCACTGAAATTAGCCTCCACACCAGAGACATTGCTTATTAGGGAAAGAATGTTTCACATCTCAAAGAAAAACACACACACACACACACACACACAAGTGGCTAGAAGGTTTGAATACTCATCGCAAAATTGTTTTTGTACTGAATTCACACCCTTAATGGTTTCCACTCAAAACTGGAGTGCATCAAATACACAGGTGTCAACTCACTATGGTTCTCAGAGCTGGGACCGGACCACAGAGAAGGAAATAAAAGGCCTCCTGAGGCAATTGCCATCTCCTCTGCATTTAGAATCTGGCTCCAAACCTTGTCCACATTTACTTATGGTCTCTGTACTTGTATCTGCTCTAAGTAAGAATGCAAGCTCCCAGCTGGGTTAAACCCAAATTAGCACAGCACTGTCCCTAAGACTACCAATGTGTAAAGAGGAATGACCCCTGTTCTCACACTATAATTTCAAATGGCAATTCCTCTATTATATAGTTTTTAATAGTGAAAGTGTTTTGATTTTGTTTTTAGGTAAGATGGAAAAAACACTCAGCTGCTCAGTGAGGCAGAGATAAAATATTCTGCAAAAACAGCACTGATGGAATAGGCAGAACCCCTGGGCCATCAATTTATGAACACACAACTTGTGGTACAAGACAGGTGTATTGTTGCAGATTGGTGGTCCAGAAAGGGATTTTATTTTATTTAAAAAAAAAAAAAACTAACAATAAACACTTCATGGCAAACCATTTTTATGATAAGTGACTAAAGGGAATGAAAAGCCTATAGAGTAGAGTCAAATCCTGGCGCTCGCTGGGGCTTTCACTAGCTTTCTCCTGTAGCTCCTGGGCACGTTTTTTTCTTTTCCACTTACATTTTATAACAGGGGTCTCGGTTTTCTGGTCGTACTTCTGAGAGTGCTACCTGGTGCATCTACGACAGTGTGGCCTCTGGAGACGTTCTGTCAGGGGCAGCAAGTCTCCCTACTTTGGGTATTTTTTTCTGGTTGAAAACTCTGTGCTTAACATTCCGTTTCGTTCATCTCAGTCCTGAGAAATCACAGTCGTTGAGAGGGAACCAACAGCATCTGGGGACAGGGGGTTGCACTCATTAATCTTCTCCCCCCCGTTTAAGTACAACAGTGCAAGTACAAGCGGAAAAGTCAAGGTTGTCCAGTATGCAAAGCCACCCTGTGACCCCACCTACTGCCATGGAAATGCACCGATGGATGAGTGTGAGTGTGTGGATGTGGCAGGTGAGATTTGAGTTTGTGTGAATGGGTTTGTGAAGGTGGATGAATTTGCATGAATGTGTATTTGTATGTAAGTGCTTGTGTACAAGTATGTGTATGTTTGTGTAAATTTTTTGAGTGAATGTGTTTGCTTCTGTATGTTCATTGTGTGTTTGGGTATGATTTTTTTGTGTGTCGGTGTGTGTATTACTGTGAATGTACGAGTATAAATGTGTATGTGTGTGTATTTATGTGTAATTGGCATGAGTATGCATGTTGAGTGTATGTGTCTAGTGTGTGTGAGTTTGGGTGACTGTGTATGAGTGTATCGTTTGTGTCTGTTAATGTGTGTGGGTGAGCGTGTAAGTGTGCACGTGTGTAGTTGCCTAAGTGTGTAATTGCATATGACTTTGTATTTTTGTGTGAAGTACTCGTTGTGGTTGTATTTGTACATATGAGTGCAAATTGTGTGTATAAGTATTGTGTGTGCGTATTTGTATGTGTATTCTTGTGTGTATGCGTGTGAACGTCGTGGGAGTGTGTAATTGTGAAAATGCGAGCACTGTGTGGCGACTGTGCGCGCTGGGTCAGCGTGCATTTGTGTGCATGCGAGTATATATATTGGTCTGTGCGTGCGGGCGCGCGTGTGAGCCGGTGAGCGCTGCCGCCGCGCGCCTGCACCTCGCGGCTTTCCGCCCCATCGCTGCACGGGAGCTGGGGCAGCAGCAGGCCGGCCTGGCGGGCGAGGGTGGGACGCGCGCGCCGGGGTGAGCCGACTGCGCCGCCGTCACCGCCGCCGCGCCGACTTTGCCCTTTAAATCGGTCTCCAAGCCGATTACAGCTGATCTCCCACGTGACGTTTTACCTTCTGTCTCCCGGAGCGAGTTGCCCGAGGGCAGTCCTCCTCGGGCTGCCGGGCGTCGCGCCGCCCCAGCCCGCCGCGGGGCTCCGGCAACTTTGGGCGAAGCAGCGGCGGGCCGGGGCGCCCTCTCGGGGCCACTTTTCCACGCGGGCGTCGGGGGCTCCCCGGGCTTCGCTCGGCCGGGAGGGCGGCGGTCGCGGCCGAGAACTTGCCCTGGCCGCATCCAAGCGCCCCCTCGGGCCCGCGCGGCGCCGCGCCCCGAAGGCCGGCGGGGTGCCCTGCGCGCTGCGTCAGACAAGGGGGCGCCCTTCGCCAGCCGGGACCCGAGCGGGCGCGCCCCGGGGCGAGCCGGCCTGGAGATGGCTGCGAGGCACGGGTGAGCCCCCCGCGCCCTCACCATGCAGAAGAGCGTGCGCTACAACGAGGGGCACGCCCTGTACCTGGCCTTCCTGGCCCGCAAGGAGGGCACCAAACGCGGCTTCCTGAGCAAGAAGGCAGCCGAGGCGAGTCGCTGGCACGAGAAGTGGTTCGCTCTCTACCAGAATGTGCTCTTCTACTTCGAGGGCGAGCAGAGCGGCCGCCCGGCGGGCATGTACCTCCTGGAGGGCTGCAGCTGCGAGCGGGCGCCCGCGCCGCCCAGGGCCGGGGTCGGGCCAGGCGGCGCCCGGGACGCGCTGGACAAGCAGGTACCACGCGCCCTCCTTCCTAGGTCTCCCTCCCTGCGGCCGCGGCACACTCCCTCTTCTAACCCTCGAGGTCTAGGGCTCGACCGAACGCGGGAACCGTACTCCGAGATCCAAGGTTCCCCCGCGGTGTCAGCGGCAAGGACATCTCCACGCGCCTCCCCGTCTCCATCCCCCCCTCTCCCCCACCTCCATGTAATCACTTGGGAACCGAGGCTCCGCTTTATTTCTTTCGCGACCCTGAAAGCGGTCGGGTCTTTTCAGTTTCATTGCTAACCATCCAGTTCTTCTCTAGACCTAGTTCGGAGGGATTTAGTGTGGTGACGTGTGTTGACACCTGTTGGGTTTAGATTGGCACGACGGAACTAACTTATTTGGAAAAGTTTGGTTTCTCCCTTACCCGGCTGGTGCGTGTGGGGTTTTTTTATTCTGCGTGCACATGTTTGATCGCTGGCTGTGCAAGGAACAAGCGGGGGCTCCCAGGAAGGACAGGCACTTTCTGTTGGCGATTTTCAATGATTTGTGGTTTATGTCGGTTTACCTTGCTCACATTTGACCTGCTGGGTCTAATTATGGAGGTAAATGTGTATGCATTTCCCTCAGGATTAGTCTTTGGTAGCCGCATTCCTGCTATGTTTAAACCTGTGGGCATTTTTAAAGAACGCTTCTCTGTACTTTTAAATGAATGCTTTGAAAATAAATGTGACCTTTTTATCCTGGGTCATAATTTTATTAGTTTTGCTGTGTATGCATTCGGGGAGGAAAAAACAAACCCTCTAGATTTAGTAACTCCTGCCCCCCCATTCCTGCAAATGCGAAATTTATATTTTTTTCCAATCACCGTTGGAAAAAAAAGACTAATGTTATGCTCCCAAATGTTCTCACTTCGCTTCTAGATCTCCACCTTGAAGAAAAGAGGCTGACTGTCTTTGCTGTAGCATAAAATGTTTCGCAGATGAATTTCCCCTGCAAGTCAGACCAAACAGCTTCTCTTGCAAGAGCGTGGCTGAGGGAGGCGCTAGCGATGGGATGATGAATAAGATGCCTACATAACCCCTGCGGCTCATAAAACAATGTGTAAAATTAAGAGGAGTTCAAACTAGATCAACCAGAAGTTTTGTTTTGTTTTGTTTTTTTCCACTTTGGTTTCACTATAAATCATTAACAGACTTAATTGATTAAACTTGTTATATTGCATATAAATCTGATATTTAAAAAATACACCCTTTGGTGTTTGAGGGCATGTTGAGGGTTATTTGAAAAACTGATTTTCAATTTTGTAGATACAGATACTGAAAATATAAGTTTAAATTTCAAGTCATGCATGTTAAAATTTAAGAGCACGAAAAGGGTATTGAGGAAGCAGATTTTTTTCAGTTATCTATTTTTTTTTTCTATTGGTGAGGTTGTTTTTTTTAAAGGTACGTGTTCCAAGGCCCCCCAGGAGCCAAAACTAATAAGTTCTTAAGTGTTACTATGTGTAAAAGCAAATAGGTACTTTAAATTACCCTGGATATATATCATTGACTTAATCCCAAATTATTTTTTCTCCTATTTATACTCATATCAGGAGATAACCTTCTTCTTCTTTCTTTCTTCTTTCTTTCTCTCTCTTTCTTTCTTCCTTCCTTCCTTCCTTCCTTCCTTCCTTCCTTCCTTCCTTCCTTCCTTCCTTCCTTCCTTCCTCCCTCCCTCCCTCCCTCCCTTCCTCCCTTCCTTCCTTCCTTCCTTCCTTCCTTAGCTAGGGGTGTGAAGATGTTACTTGCTGCAACTTACCTAGCTGTCTGACCAGTTAACATGAAAACCTACATTTTTCTACTTGGAAATTATCTGGGCTCTTCTCTTCAGGACAGTTTTCTTTACACCACACTTTAAGACATAAATGTAACCCTCCAATAGTATGACTTTTATGCCACTTTCTAACGGAAGTCCTAAACAGGTCATCCTAGGGAAAAAAAAAATTTGTTTGCCATACAAGTTATGAACATTTCTCACTCATTTGGTACATAGAAGTTGGAACCTTTGGTGTACGTAGAAAAACTGAGATATAAAGAACAAACATTTCAAAATGGAATCGAATTGGGAAATCTGTCAAATTTTGTTTTCTGTTAGGCATGCTTCTGTGACTTAGGTTAGTTTAGCAGATTGATGCTTTTCTCTAGCCTGCCTGTCTGGATGTATCTGAAGAATTAAGAAAAAACTACAAAGATAAGAAACAAAGAAGCAACTTCTACCTTAAACCTATAGTTTATGCAGTTGGTTCCCTTTCAGTTCATTTGTGTTCCTACGTGCTCACATTTTCTGAAGCACCTAGACTTGAAAACTGGCAAAGTTGAGGCACTGAGCAGGGACCATCTTAAGGTCTGTTTCTCCAAATGTGCTCCTGGAGCTTTCTGAGTAAATATCTCTCTCAACCCCATAAACACAGTTGAAGGTTAGGGCTTGAAACAGGATTTAGGGAGGCAGAGTGCGTTTCCTCCACCATGTTGCTGTGACTTAATGTACACAAATCTCTTAACGGTCTCTATTTTTTCTGTGAATGAAATCCGTTTCTTAATATTTAAAAATTAAGAGTTTGGCTGAGAAGATTTCAAGTTGCCTTCCAATAATGACATCTCCTGTTTCTAATGTTGTAACAGCAGTGTGAGCTTTTGCTGTGTAGAGAATGTGACAGACTGTTTCACAAGATTTAAAGTTTACCAGTCCCTGTAATAACTACTGAATCTGAGAAGCTAAACACAAGCAGGTGATCAAAGTGAACATTCTAATAACTCAGTTAGGTTAGCAGATGTGCAAACCAATAGGAACATCATTGCTAGAGGAGGGGATATTTTTATTTACACTGGAGTGTGATGTAATGCTGTTGACAGTTATAGTTAATGTAATTTTTGCTCTAAAATGCCTCCAATCATTCTTGTCAGTTTAAATGCTACTTATCCTTCAAATAATTCTTAAATTCTGATTAATTGTGTTTTTCGGTAAGTTATATAATAAGAGGAAAACACTCATTGGTTTGTTTCTTCTAAATAATTCGAAGTAAGTTGGTTGACAAAAGAAAAATTAGTTTTTTTTTTTAAACCACTGTTAAAGTGGTTTTTAAAAAACTGTTTCCAGTTAAGAAAAAAGAAAGGTATTTTTCACTTTCCAAGTGTGCCTGGGTTAAAGGAATATTTGCATTGCTCCATTTTTTCAAGAATGTCCCAAGGATTTCACTTTGGTAGGTCCTTGGTTGATGGCAAGGCTCTCAGATCAAGTTTCCATAGTGGCTACTTTTTGGGTACTTTTAGTTATGGTGATAGAATCAAAATGAATTCAGCTAAAAAATTTTCAAGTAGTGTTCCTTTTCTTGAACCTGTGTGTTGGTGGTACTTTCTAAAGAAATCTCCGTTTATGTGAAATGAAAAACTGACTTTTCATTCTAGGTAAAAGTGTTCAAGGGGAATGGGAATTTGGGTTTAATAAGTACCTTCTGTGTGCCAGGCTCTGTGTAATCCTCCATTATCACATCTAATTTGAACTTCCCTTCAGCTCTTAGAAATTGTGAGTACTTTTTTCATTTATACCTATGCTAACACTGAGACTGAAAGCGTTCTAGGGAGATGGAGATGATCAAAGTCCAACTCCAAGTATGAAGATTGAATAACGTTGAAGAGTGCCTTGGGAAGGATCTACTTAAGTTGATTGAGCTTCAAGAAATTTAAAATCTGAGGGTCACCTGGGTGGCTCAGTCAGTTAAGCATCCTGGGATTGAGCCCCGCATTGGGCTCCCTGCTCAGCAGAGAGTCTGCTTCTCCCTCTCCTTTTGCTTCTCCCCCCACTAGTGTGCGTGCGCGCTCTCTCTGTCAAATAAATAACTAAAATCTTAAAAAAAAAAAAAAAGAAATTTAAAAATCTGAGTGGGATGGGGGTTGGGATTGCATGTGAATCACTATTTTGTTTATTCTTACTTCCCTTTAAAAACTATTTACAGGGCAGTTGTAATTCTTGAGAAGCGTAATTGCAGACCATTGCATTTTTAAAGAAAAATGAGACTTATGTTTAAACAAACAATTTTACATAACATTCATCTCCTTCAGTAGGGGATCTTTAAAAATATTTGTACTTAGGTGAAAGTACACATTGGTTAGTCTAGTCCATTTAAGTGACTGAATGTGTCTTCCCTGCTAGCAGGAGAGACATATAGGAACAAAGCCATATTTATTCTTATTTTCCTGCTAATGGTAAATGTTCTGTTCACCCTGATTTCAGTCATTTTTGGGGTCAGACATCTTAGTTCTGGAGGCTTAAAGTAGTAGATACGTGTCATATTTGTGCTGAATTAAACATGTTGATTTAATTTTAAGGGGATTAAAGGTTATGTGATTTCCCCTGTCACCTCGTTATTAGCCAATCATTTTAGCCTTCCTAATGACCACAAGTGGAGGATTTTAATAGTTTTATGGAATTAGGCAGAGCTGTGTGCAAGCCCTGGAATACTTGTGGAGGGTGGAGAGTGTGGATGGTGGATGTTCAGTCTCATTTATGTTGTTTAATTGATATATAATAACCAGCTCAATATTTTCTCTTCAACTTTTGCTTATTGAACATAAGTGAAGGGAAAATGGCATAAAAATATTTACTAAATCTTACAAAAAGTTTTAAAATATAATTTAAGGAAGAGAAATGATTTATTATTGGAACTTTGTAATCATTCTTTCAAACTTAAATGAAAAATAACCTATGGGTTAGCAAAGTGTAGTTATTTTAATTTTGGCTACACTAAACCTTACTATATATATTATTGTAACAATTTTTTTCTTTGGGAATTAAACATATTTTAATATTTTCTTCTCACTGGGTGATGATAAGTTGTAAAGCGTGTGTGATGACCACAGGTTTCTGGTTTTAGCAGGCAAATGTTAATAGTTGGTTCAAACAATTGATATTGCTGTGTGTTTAATGCAGATCATATTTTTAAGTTGATTTTGTCCATGTTTTTCAATAACTATGCATGCTGCAGCCAA